ATATATATATATATATATATATATATATACATATATATGGCGTCTCTCCATTCACTCTTATATAAGTTATATATAAGTTATGTTAATGTATTCTACAAATAGAGTGCTAGGACAGAGTAATAATAAATTAACAAAAACACATATCCAATTTTGTTGTTGACAGACAGGCGGATAAGTGTTTTTATTAATACATAAATGCATATATTTTAATATATGCATTTATGTATTAATAATTTTTTTTAAATTTTTTTTTATAAAACATTAATTCAAAATAAACTAAATTAAAAATTAAAATGCTTTTATTTTTGTTATATTATAAAAGAAATCTATATGCATTATGAAAACCCAAAAAAATATTTTTTGACACAATGATTTAGATACCAAAAAATAAAAAAATAATGAAACATTATTTTGATTAAAAAAAAAAATCGGACAAAAGTTAAGGATATATTTCAAATAATATAACGAAACAATAATTTACAAAAAAACCATAAAATAAAGAATTTTAATATTTTGCAGAATCACTTTTCTCAAATAAGCATTGATGAAGGCAATTATATAAAATTTCAAAATATCGATCAGCATTAATTCAACCTTCAAATAATCGAATAGCATCTAAGTCCCAAAGTGTTTTGATTAATACATAAATGCATATATTTTAATATATGCATTTATGTATTAATAACAACAACACGGGTGGACATATGGCTTCTTGTTATTTTTTTAAAATAATTACTTAGGGGGTGTTACTAAAACTTTCATAACTTTTGAAATATTAAAGATAAGTATGTTCTGTAAAAAGAATATGAACAACGATTAAATTTTTTATATTTTATCATTCAATATAAGAATCCAAAGCTGCTATGGTTTTTATATAAGCGCGCAAAATGACAAACTTGGCAAAATTTCGAAATTTTAATGGTAATTTTTAGCAAAAATAATCAGAAAAATGATATTTCTGTTGGAACAATGCCACCTTAGATGTAAGAATATCTGGAAGATTGTTAATGTAAATTAAAAAGAGTATAGGGTCAAGGATTGAATCTTGGGGAACCCCTGAGGTTACAGAATAAGAAGAAGAGTGCTGTCCATCAAGGACAACTTTTATACTACGATTGGAAAGAAAGAGTTCAATAATCTTAAAGATGTTTCCAGATACACCGTAGGAAGAAAGCTTATGGAGAAGACCAGCATGCCAAACTTTATCAAACGCTTTTGAAATGTCGAGAGCAATGGCCTTAACCTCTCTACCTTTATCTAATGTGCGATAAAACCTATCGGTTATTACTGGTAGCAAATCAGCCGTAGAACGAGAAGATCGAAATCCATATTGATGATCAGAAAGTAGGTTATGAGATTCGAGATGAGAGATTAAGTGTTTGTTAATTAAAGATTTAAAAATCTTGCTTATGATAGGAAGAAGACTAATTGGACGGTAGTTAGACGAATCGGATCGCTCTCCAGAATTTTTAAAAATAGGAATAACAGAAGCTGCTTTCCAGCAGGCTGGAAAACAAGGCTCTGATAAGCACTTGTTAAATAGTTTTGAAAGGATAGACGACAGCTCCGGAGAACACTTCTGCAAAACTATAACAGGTATGTTGTCCGGGCCGCAGGCTGTAGAAGAGTCTAAGTGGGAAATCATTTTAGATACAGAAACTAGAGTGATACGAATGTCGAGCAATGGATCAACCTGTTTGACGGTTATATCAGGTAGAACGCAACTGGTGGCATCAAGAGATGATATTGATGAAAAGTTCTTGGCAAACAATTCAGCTTTGTCTTTAGGTGAGGTGACAAAGTCTGAACCATACAAAAGAGGTGGAATTACAGACTTGTCCTTATTATTGATACTATTAAAGATTCTCCAGAAGTCACGAGAGCCTAATTTTTGTGATGAAATACGAGATTTCATGATCTAAGAATAGCGGGTTTTGGCATTAGACAAAACCTTTTTACAATGGTTCCTAGCAGTAATAAACAGACGTCTGTTTTCTAGAGAATTGATTTGCTGATAGATATGGAAGTAATGGTTTCGATTGGCAATTGCAGCAGCACAATGTGAGGAAAACCATGGAGAAGAGTGAGGCTTGACCTGGAATTGTCGAGAGGGAATAAAGGATTCCATGCCAGCCTGAATTCACGAAGTTATGTAAAAAGCACATTTATCAACAGGGAGACGAAAGATTTCTACCCAGGGGCCATCACGAAGAAAATCACGGAAAGATTCCCAGTCAGCTTTAAGGTAGTTGTAAGATGTACGATGATAGGGGAATTCTGATGGTAAAGAAAAATGAGATAATAATTTTAGAGAGACCAAACCATGATGAGAAGTACCTAAGGGTGAGTGTGAAGAAACTGAGCACTGACTAGGATCAGAAACAAGGCATAAGTTGAGTAGAGAAGTTAAATGATTCGGGTTGTCAGGAAAGCGAGTTGGAAAGTTGACTATTTGAGTTAGGGATTGAGAAAGACAAAAGTTATGGGCCTTAATGCCTGCAGATTCACTGACACTAGAGCCAAGCCTTTCAGCGTGATGAACATTAAAGTCACCAACAACAACAATATTGGCTGATGGATAAAGAATGAGGGCTTGGTCAATATAATTAGAAATAATATCAAGAAGAGTGCAGTCTTGAGATGAGGGAAAGCGATATAGAACAAAAAGAAAGGTAATAGAGTGAAGTGGTGCTAAACGAAAGCACATAAAAGAGTAGTTTGTGGATTCAAACCTAGTTTCCTGACAAATGGGTGAATTCTTACGAATGTAAATGCCCTGGCCAAGCATGTGACTATTGGAGTCTTTACGAATTAAAGGAAGATAACCATCAACACTAAGATCACAAGATGAGGCAGCTGAACTCAAATTAATCTCACAAAGAGCAAGTAGGTCTGGTGAACTTTGCAAGAGATAAGACCTACTGTTTTAAACTGTTTGCAAGAGATAAGACCTACTGTTTTTAGAGTGTAATGACGGGCCTTGGCCCGTCTTTATGGAATTAATTAATGGCTTCCTTAGCACTTTAGCTGTATAATCCTGGGGATATCTGAACATTTGAACTTTAAAATAATTGAGAATTTCTACACTTATGATTTTGCTCAAGTAATAGTTATGATTGTTATTTGACCGAAGATTGTATTTTTGTGAAAATGCTGATGTAAAAATATCATAAAATACTTTTGGCAACTAGTTATTTTTATATTTATACATAAATATTTGAAGCGAATTATATTTGAAGCGAATTAAATTTTGATATATTTGAAACATTCATGTATTTCATTACAGAGGAAGGGTTTTCTAATCTCTTTAAATAGTTAACTGCTTTATATGCGTGGTTTTGCAGGCTCTGTAATCTTAATAACTTAGTTTTGTGTGTGTTAGCCCAAACAATATTAGCGTAGGAGAGATGACAATGAACAAGACTGAAGTAAAGCATTTTGCGTGATTTATAATCAAGAAAGGCCCAAGATTTATATAATACACTTATAGCAGAAAATATTTTTGCTTCAATGAAACTAATATGTTTTTTCCATGATAGTTTCTCATCAAATATTACTCCCAAAAACTTTGAATGATTTACTCGATTTATTTCATTTTTATTGATTGACAGTTTTGGCAACTTTAATGGAAGATTAGTTGATTGTCTTATTTTATGGAAGAGAGTATAACTTGTTTTTTCACAATTTAATGATAACTTATTAGCTAAAAACCATTGGCTTTCTAGTTTCATTGTTTCGAACAATATTTTTACATCAGAACTGTTGTAGAATAAATTTGTATCGTCTGAATACATAACTGATGATATTTTATGAGAGGCTTTATTCATATCATTGATATATACCAAAAATAATAAAGGTCCTTAAATTGATCCCTGTGGGACTCTGCAAACAATATCAAGATCTCCTTTTGATAACTTTTAACCCACTTATATGTTAGGCCTTTAATGCCGTTATGCTTTAGCTCTGAAAGCAAAATTCCGTGATCAACAGTATCGAATGCCTTAGAGAGATCGATAAATACTCCCAGTATTTATGTATAAAAGTGTATTTAATATCATATAATCATAAATTCTATTAAAAAATACACTTTCAAATATTTTTAAAAATACAGGGAGTAGTAATATTGGACAGTAGTTGCAAACAGAAGAACAATCACCATTTTTAAAAACTGGATCAATTTTGGCTGATTTTAATTTATCAGGATATATACTATTCTCAAATGAAAATGCTATTAAATAAAAATAATGGTTTATTTATACTATCCATAACATAGATAGCTACATTACTAGTAATGTCGTCGTGTTTGCTATAAATTTATAAGTTCTCGAATGCTTAATAAGATTTTTTTTATTTGTTTGAAAAAGAAACTTAAAACTCTCGGAAATTAAATTCGGTATCATTGAACTTAAAATGTTTACTGATACAACTTTTTACGCTGATCAAGAATCTTTTTTCAAAATTAAATTTGCTATTTAGGAAAAAAATTATGGGTTAAAAACGGAAACTGAGTGTTGCGGGGTTGAATGAAATACGCTAATAAATAAATAATTACGAAGCAATAGCTTATTTCTTAAAAGCGGTTTTTTTTATTAGGTCTCAAGTGACCAATAAATCTCCAACTATAAATTTTTTGTATAAATTTCAATGAACGAATTTTTCTAACTGAATTTAAATGACTTTTACTTACTGCTTTTATAAAATGGTTCTAATAAATGAATGAAATTCGCTAGTTTCTCTCTTGTTAATTTGCTTACCAGCTCACTCGTCGCACATTCTACAACCACTAGATGTTGGTGTTTATTGCCATGTCAAAAAAGTTTGGCGCAATTTACTTCAACTTTTTTATGCAGAGACAAAGTTTAGCAACCTGTCAAAAGAATGTTTCAGTCACCTGCAAAAAAATTTTTTCAGCTCTGATGAAGTTTTTACACGTATTCAGATAGTCACCGGGTTTCAGAAAACTGGCTTGTTTCAAATTCAACATTGATAAAATCGATTAGTCAAAGTTGCAAATTTCTAATACATTTGAAACACTGAGATCTGAACCTGAGTCTTCATCATCTCAACAATCAGAATCTATGATAGTGCCATCACTAAATCTAGCACTAGAAACTACACTACCTCAGCCACTGCCCTCTGAATCTACACCAACAACATCTAGTATCAGCATATGTCACAAAACATCAGCTCCGAAGTCATCTCAAAAGTCACCTTGTCTGCAAATAACCTTCAATACTGCAGTAACTCAGGCTATTCAAAAGGAAATTCAAAAAGAGGTTGCGAAACAACTGCAATCAGCCCAATCACTTGGATCAGCTTTGCAACAAAGGTTTCGTATCCAACACGTTCACACAAAAAAAAGAAAAAATGTAGATGTGCCAATATTCAAAGAGGAGTGTCTCAACAAGCCTGAAATACTTGAAAGGTTGAAAGATGCTGAGAGCAAAAAAGCAGCAAAGCAAGCTTAAAAACAACCTAAGCTAGCTCTAATGGAGAACAGCAAATAAACCAAGCAACAAGTCCGACGAAAATATTAGCTGCAAACTAATTCAAGTGTTAAAAGTGCCGAAAAGTTTTGGGCGAAACTTCAGCTAGTCAAATTATGGGAATGGTACCAGTGTAAAAATTCAAATTGCAAGGTTTGGCTAAGTCAAACATGCATACCAAAGTGATACGCAAAAGACGCTGAGTTTTCTTTTGCTACAAAAAGTGCCGCACAAGTGAAAACTCAACTCAACCTCTAGTACCTCTAAACGACTCAACATCATCACAAGTATAAAAAAGGTTATTTTATTTGGTTAATTTTTTTAATTGTTATTATTGATTGTTTTTTTAATTGTTATTATTGATTGCTTTTTTGTTTTTTTAATAAAGTGTTGTTTTAATTACACTTGTATTTGCGTATTTCATTATCCCCAAATGCACTGTGTAGAATGGAATAAAATTTTTTTTAATCAAATAAAGTTTTATAAAAAACTTTACAAAATAATTGTTAAAATTTTATATAGTTAAATACAGCTCAATACTCTCTATAACTTTAAATAAAAAAAAGTAATAAATTAAGTATTTTGGTCAAAAGATTGCCAAGAATTTTCCCTTTACAGTTTTGACTAAAAACGCAGACCATAAGTTGCATTTTTTTTGCCAACTATTTACTTTAGCGATAAATATTATTTTTAAATATTTTAATTGTGTACATTATTTATTAAGTATACAGGCATGTTTTTGTAACAAAAAAATTAAAAAAATAATAAAAAAATTAGACTAAAAATAATTGGATAATATTAGGCTAATTTTTAAACAGCAGAACAATAACTTTTCATTAGTTTAAAAATTAACACAATGAAAATAAGAAAACTAGCACATGGTGGCCCAACGTCGTGCCGACGTGTTATATTTGGCTAGAAAATTTACGTCGGCATAACGTAGGAAGTACTATGTTTTAAATGTGCATTGTGGTTTTCTGCGCTTTGTTTATTCAATTATTAAGTAAGCTAAGCGTAGAAAACCAGAACGCACATTAAAACATTGCATTTCCTATGTTATGCCGACGTAATTTTTCTACTTGATATAAAACACGTGGACCCGACGTCGGATCGAGGTGTTCATGCTATCTGGGTCTTTCTCTTGTTTTATTAATTTCATCTTTTCTCTTCCAGTAACTTCCAACTCCAGTAGTGGTTGCTTGCAACCTTGTTGGAAGATAAGATTTTGAAAAATATACATATATATTTTTTTATTTCATATATATACATATATATATATATATATATATATATATATATATATTATATATATATATATATATATATATATATATGTATATATATATATATATATATATATATATATATATATATATATATATATATATATATATATATATATATATATATATAGGGTCGGCGCGAGTAGGTGTCACGTGGGGGGATGCCATTACAACTTTTGCTCACTAAAAAAAAAAAAAATAGGTCCTCGTTTTTGAAAATTTGTCAACTGCAATAACGACATTTTCCGACTGACTGTCTAAATTTACTGACTAATCTATTGACAGGGTCTACATTTGCCCACTAACTAGTCAAAAAGGGTCAAATTTGCCGACTAAAAATCATTGATGGGGGGGGGGGGGTATAACACCCCTCACACACCCCTATCCCGCCGGCCTTGTATATATATATATATATATATATATATATATATATATATATATATATATATATATATATATATATATATATATATATATATATATATATATACAGGGGCGGATGCAGGATTTTTGGAAGTTTGAGATAACTAACTTCCAGACATGGAGCGAACTCAAAACTTTTATATGTTTATAGTTATATCAAATAAGGATACTTTGCATAAAATTGAGATGATAGGAGCCTGGGAACAAAAAAGCCCCAAAATTTTTGCTACACCTGCCCCAAACGTGAGAGCAACAAGTTGATAAAATATTTTTTTTACTATTCTCAACTAAATCTATATTCATCGAGAGTTTTTAAAATTCATACAATAATCTCTTAACGTTCAAAAGTTATAGCCACATAAAGTTTGAATCCCCCTCAATTTGAGGGGGTTACAAATTTTATAAGACCATTATTATTGAACGCTAAAAGGTTGTTTTACAAAATTAAAAATTTCTCGATGAATATAGATTTAGTTGAGAAAAGTAAAAAACTTATTTTATCAACTTGTTGCTCTCACGTTTGGGGCAGGTGTAGCAAAAATTTTTGGGCTTTTTTGTTCCCAGGCTCCTGTCATCTCAATTTTTTGCAAAGTATCCATATTTGATATAACTATAAACATATAAAAGTTTCGAGTTCGCTCCATGTCTGGAAGTTAGTTATTTCAAACTTCAAAAAATCCTGTATCCGCCCCTGATATATATATATATATATATATATATATATATATATATATATATATATATATATATATATATATATATATATATATATATATATATATATATACATATATATATATTACATCATACTTATCTAAATGAATATAAATTAATACTTATATATATATATAATATAAAACGTTAATTTATACCAAAAATTAAATTAAAGGAAGCAGAGGCGATTTTACAAACAAAATGAGGGAGGAAGGGGGGGGTTTAAAGGGGCATGAATCCTTAAAAAGCACCGACTGGTAAGAAAAAAATTCAAAAAAAGTATGCAAAAATAACTTACCTCAAAACCTTCTAATTGATGGAAAACCAATTTAAAATGAAAAAATATATATACATAAAACTAAACTCGTTTTTTCTTTAAGTGACAGATCCATTTCCGTTAAGTAACATAAAGTTTAAAGTAGAGTAATTATCTAGTTTGAATATATGCGAAAAACGAATTGCTTTCCGTTTATTAAGATCCCTCCCCAGCAGGCAAGAGTACCTTTGTTTGAATTTTATTAAAATTAAAAAAAATTTAATCAAATTATATTAAAATACCAAAAAAAATAAAATAATATAAGCAAAAAATATCTAAAAGTTATTAAGCAAAGACAAAATAGATAAACAATTCTAGTTCCACCCGGGCTTGAACCGGGGACCTTTCGCGTGTTAGGCGAACGTGATAACCACTACACTATGGAACTATATTCCCTGTGGTCATTTTTAAAGTTTAAATATAATTTATATATTTTTCAGAAATTTAGGGATTAAAATTTACCGATTAGGGAATTTCTGGAAATATATAAAATTTTGGAAATTTTTTAAAAAAGAAATTAATGTCTAATTTAGGCAGTATTTATAGACAATTTTACGGTATAATATTGCGAAGCAGGTTATAAAAATTTTAGAAAGCCCCATTGAAAAATACTTTTTATGGTATTTTGTTGAATTTTTTTCTGGTAATTATGATAATTATTTGTAACTATGATAATTATTTGTAACTATGATATTTGTAGCAACTATGATTATTTGTTTTCAAAATTTTCCAAAACTTTAAAAATGTTTATAAAAAAACTTGATTAAATATTTACAGTATTTTAAGATTGTTTCTTGATTTAACGACCTTATTGATTAATGAACAGCAAAAAATTAAAGAAGCGTAAATGCTAAATTTGAACTATTTAAAAATATAGCTAGCAATTAACCAAGAACTAATGATTTCGAGGTCGTAAATTCCACCACTATGTTTAAAAAAATGCATTTAAGTCTCGCCACAACGTTGTTAGAACACTTTTAACTTTAAATAATTACGCTATACTTTAATGTATACCATATGGATGGTTAACCGCCAAACCTGCCTATACACCGAATATGTTGAAATGAGACGCAAAGTCTTTAAAAAAAAGCCACTAAACCGAAAATATTAAAAGTATTTGCAGTTAAGTGCCACGTTAAAATTTTAGTCATAGTATATTGGTGTTAGCAAAAAAACACAACATAAATATTTTTTTAACATATACTCATTTTTTTCAACTTTGTTGTATAAGCAGGTTTGGCGCTTAACCATCCATATTTTTCAACCAAAACTGCCAAGTGGGCAATTTGTGTGTGTTTTAAGAATATCATACCAAGCAAATTAATTTATTATCATTTTACTAAACATTCAGATCAAATGGGTTTACTAATGTCATTTAAATAAATTATTATAATCTAACACAGCCTTTTTTTTTTTTTAACACAACATTTAATACATTAAAAAGTATTAAAAATTTGACTAAAAGATGTAAGTTTTTCGCTTGTGGGTCTATATTATTTTAAATTTTTGGTTGAAATATTCCAAGTACTGCGATGATAAAACGCATACTTTTGAAACAAAAAAATAAAGTTTATAAAACTATAAAAGTTTATTGCAATAAAATATTTTTGAAAATTTCCAGAAATTTTCAACCCTAATGATAACTTTGATTGATTTGAAGTAACCATAGTCATAAGAATACATAGTCTTGAGACCCAAACCATTTCCATTGGATTTTAACTTGAAACCAATCGGACAACCTACACAACCCAGTGGGAAAAGAAAGAGGCGGAAGATAAACCACAAAACCTCACTCGTAAGTTACACATTCTAATATCTAGTACAATTATCTGTCCACTTTCTTTAAGCTATCTATCTAACTCGACTTCTTCTGATTTTCTTTGTTCTTCCTAAACTTACTTACACTTGCGGGCGATGATGCTCTTTAGTAAGCTAAACTTATCTTTGCAGCTCCGGGTAAGTGGCCTATATATGGTAATAAATTTATTAATACAATTAATAATTTATTATCAAAATTTTTGCTGGATTATGGTTACCAGCATTATACAAATTTGTATAAATTTTACGAGCTGATGATGCTGGTCACCATAATCCAACGAAAATTTCTAATAATAAAATATTAATTGTATTAATAGAATTCGTATTAATTGATGTTTTTTTTACTGATATATATATATATATATATATATATATATATATATATATATATATATATATATATATATATATATATATATTTATATATA